TTTGTAAGCGTTGGAAGTGATTATAAATCTTGAAATTCGATGAAAAGAATTTTCTCATAAGAATTCAATACGTAGTTGAGCTTAGTTGATTTGATTCTAATCAAATATTTCCGCGAATATTCATCTCAACATACCTCGGCAGCGCTTCCTACCGAATGCCTGTGACTGGGCATCAACGGTGAGTGCAAGACAGAGTAGGACTACCAAATTTAGTAATCTGTTTTAGAATGAAGCGCGCAACAGTGCATCACTCTGTCAGTGTGATATTTGCAGGTCTTTGGCAGGAAATTCATTCAGCTGACTAGTTACAAGGGAAGCTACATTATCGCGAATGAACTGCCAGCTGGCATGCATCTGGAATGGTAGGTTTTCTGGCAGAGAGACTGGCGTGTAAAATCCACAACAGCAGTAATCGACGTAATCGTTTGGGGTTCATTATTATGGTCATAATTTTATGAGTCTGCTTGATTCGAGCTATGATAGTTACAGAGTTGATACTTGATGTCGTTCTCTTACGATACCTCTACTCATTAACATTAAATTAACCTTCTCACTCTAAGATTTCCCAATCATTAATAGCGCATGTCGGGGGGTAGGGGGTTTAACGGCTGTATACAATCAAGAGCGTGTATAAACCTTCTTTATACGCTCTTGATACAATGCGCCAGTATGCTGAATAGGAGCGGTGGCCGTTGGGGGGTTCGGAATCGGCGGCCGCCATATTGACCCGTGCGAAAGTGTACTTGCGCCAATTTATTTCCTTATGTTTATGTTCATTAGTTAATAATTAGTAAAATAAAAAATTTAGAAATAGTCATATAATAACCAAACAACAGATGGCGCTAAGACGTCATCAACGTATCTCACAAGTTCGCGTGATTGCCACACAAATTCATAATGCGCACACATACAAGACATGTTTTATTCACCCAGTCCCTTTTACGGGGCATGAGTGATAAAAAAAGGTAAAAGTTTTTTTCGAATTAAAATTAAAAATATTTTTTCACTTATGTATTTTTAAAAGCTCCGTACACTTCGTACCTGTATAACAATGGGGAACCGGCAGAACTAATCCGCAGAGTGGCGCTGATAGGCAAGTGAGTCTTGACCAAAGATCGTATAGTGCCGGAGGCCGTATAGATATCGTATAGGCTCGGCATTAGCCTCCGGCACTATACGATCTTTGGTCTTGACCTGTGACATTGTGATGTGCGTACATACAGACGCACTGTATTTACAATCAGACATACGCTATTAATATATCAGTTATACCAGCTAAACATGTCAGCATATAACTATTTTACTATGAAAACATTAAAGGAAGAACTGAAGAAGTATGACGCTAAGATTTTAGGACAAGACAATCAGGACCAAGCCCAGACTGATAGTCTCAGTGAGACTAGGCCGACTCGCTAGGCAACTTACGTAACACGTTGTTTACTCGCCGTAACACGTTGTTAACTCGGCATTAGTTTTAAATAGGGCCATATCTATGAGGTTATTGTGTTGCTATGAATATATTTAATATTTAATCTTAGTTTCGATCGTTGTAAGTAAGTCGAGTTATTACTACTTATTACTATTAGTATTACTACCATTATTTCTATTTTATATTATTTATTATCAGTTACTCGAGTTATATAATGATGTTGTCTTACGTACGGTACCTAGTATAATTACGTGCAAACTATCATCAAAATCTATCAGCAAGCTAATAGTAATACCATGTTATTGTATAAATTTAACTTGGCTGTGTAGTAATGTCATGTTTTTGCTTCTTCAAAGATCTGGAGTTGCTGTAAATTATCCATGTAATTTTCAGGTCTTCATCTTAAATTTATCAACTATACTTCTCAACCACCACCGCTGTCGACTAATAAAACTGTTGTTAACCTTTATATAACAAATTGTGATAAATAAACATTTTGGTGTGGTTGTCGCGTGTAAAATGAGCACTGACGGGTCTGCTCATATCTCGTTTGGTAATGTCACGCAGGTGTTCAACTATGCGATCTTTGAGTTTACGCTGTGTCTCGCCTATGTATCTGGCCGCGGGGCATTTGCGACAGGAGATTTCGTAGATGAGGTTCGTGGTGATGCATGTGAAGGAGTGCGTGATGTATTTCCGGAGGGTGGTCCCCATTGTTTTCTTGTGTGGCTTTAGGTTTTTTGTCGCGTATGGATTGCTGCCGTTGTGCTGCGCGTTCGTTGAGTGTATCCACCCAGGCTTCTATTTCTCTGGCCTTCGTTGAGGAGCCAGTGATTTTTACCAGTTCCCCGCGGGTAGATGTTATCTCTGCGCTTAGTTGCTCTGTGGTGTCCTTGGCATAGTTTATGGTTAGTAGGAGGCCTCTTCCTCACATATGTGTATATATATATATATTTAATCTTATATATATTTACATTATATATATATATATATATTGATCTTATAAATATAAGAAAAAATAGGTAAGTTAGGATAATTAATAGAAGCATTTGTTACTTATTATATGGGCTCGTCAGTATTTTATTACATAAACTGGCAAAATAGACAGAAACAATATTTATTTGCAACTTGGAGGCACTGAAGTGTGAATGTAATTAATAATTATATGTTTAATTGATAATAAAAACAATCAATGACATGTCTTTTTTACTAATTCATTTATTACCTGCTAAATTATCCATATTACAGTAAAACCTCGTTAAACCGCCACCATCGGGACTTGGGAAATATTGGCGTTGTAACGAGGTATTGAGATTGCAGTTTAATATCACCACTAAATAGCCTCCAGTTGCTAGAAAACCAATCAAAATAGATGATATATGATTATAAACAAAAATCACATGACAAATAAAAATCATATTAACAAAATTTCTTTGTTTTATAACTGAATTACTATTAAAATAAAAATATTATAGTTTCATGGTTGTTTCCGTGTTTTCGTTAGTCCGGAGTTGAGCACATGTACATGTAGTAGGTCCTGTATTAACTCCGCCTGCCTCACTGAATCACCATCTCCACTCTCCGGCCACAATACCATACAGCTCGCCGTTCGCCTGACACAGTTGTGAGAGACATCTAAACAGCTAAACACACAATCGCATCGCGTCGTCAACGTCGTGCAGCCCGTGCTCGTTCTCAAGAGCGACGTATTCCACTTATACATGCACACATTCGCGCGCTCACGTATGCACGCACACACGCACGCACGCACGCACGAACGCACGTACGCACGCACGCACGCACGAACGGACGTACGCACGTACGCACGCACGCACGCACGCACGAACGCATGGGCCGACGCACGCACGAACGCATGGGCCGACGCACGCACGCACGAACTCACGTACGCACGCACGCGCGCACCCAGGCCCGTAACCAGCGAGTTTTGCGGGGGGGGATCGAATTAGCCGTAACACGCGGAACTCGTGGGCGGAGCCCGACGCGCGGCGGCGGGGGTATGGGGGGCCCTCCCCAGAAAATTTTGAAAAAATGGACNGAGAGAGAGAGAGAGAGTTGGGAAATTTTGTATGTACTTGTATTTGTCTATCAGAGCCTCGTGCTGACATCATTTATTTCTCACTATATTCTTGTGTGGGTTTGCAGTTCATAAATGTAATGGCATTTTATGGGTTTCACGCAGGTATCAGGACCTAAATATCGGCCCAATTGCTGGGATATCTTTCTCTGGTGTTGGATTTACAAGAGCAGAAAGGTAAAATGCTTCATTAAAAATAGATGACTGACAATTAATGTTACCAAAGAGTTTTAGACGCATATTTATTAATCATTGATTGCATTGACTAATGTGTTTGCATGCGGAGTGTGTTTATAAAAACGATGTAGAATGGCATGACAAGAAAAGTGATAGTGAATAGAAATTAACAAAAATAAAAGTTGCATTATCTGTATGTTCATATATTTAATTGTTTGCTTAGTTTACTGTACATTTAGTGCACCATTATAATCAGTGCTGTTGATCGAGATCGTCATGAATTTATAGCGATAAAAAGCTTCTTACAGTAATGTTTCACTTGGCAAATTTCCTTTAATAATGAGGCGTGAACGTTTTTAGGGATGAAGAGGAGGGGAAGAACAGTGGGGAATTCAAGGATAACCCCTTCATTGTCACGTCGTCTTCGGCTGCGGTAGCCATTGTCAACGGTGATAGCTCACAAGTAGAGGTTGTCTGCAAAGAGTGGACGTCGCTAGTACAGGCTATCCATGCTCACCCAGCCAAGTAAGATTTAATTGGTTATAGGTGAAAGTCATACGTCCTGTTCATAGTGTCTATTCCTATACTTGCTGTTAGTATTTATGGCTTCACTATAGATGCATGACATTTATAATATATATATATCAAGAGCTCATAATAGAGAAGAGTATGCCACCGTTTTAACAGCGTTTTGCATAGTTTTCAACTTGTAAATATTCTATCAATATGTGAATAAATATATTCAAACTTTACCTTGTTTTCATCTATGATTCTCCCTTCATCATATGACACCACCAATTTACCTCAAAATCGTATGTGTTCTTCAAAAAAGTACTTTGAATACGACACGGTTTCACACAGTTTTCCCAAATGTTCGCATGTATTCGGCGCAAGTTTATTATCGGATTAGTGTTCTATTGTCTATGACAGAACGCTGGGGGCTGTTGGGGATATTAGGCATCGAATTGTATTCAGCGTGTAGCATTTCTAGCATGCTAGAAATAAATGTG